TAGTGATATATGGGTAGTACTAGTAGGTAGGGAAAATGTGTTTTTTTTTTAACGGAGTGGTTCAATGCAAGGCCTATACCACTACTTCTTGGCATTGAACTAGAAATATGAGAGAAACATGGCTATGTCAAGAGATGGCGGTGAACGTTTGATTTGAAAGCCTGTAGATTGTAGGTTGGTGGGAAACACTTGTCAGGGAGGGAATTCCAAAGCTTGGCCGTATGGGAAAAGAAACTGTCACTGTAAAAACTGTGTTGTGTTATCTTGAAATCAAAGTCATTGACCTTTATGTTATCTGACCTTCATTCAGAAATTTGTTGTTTACGACTTACACCCCTTTCAGTGACCTTAAAAGAAATATTAGAGTTTTTTTTTTTAATGGAAGTTTTTAAAGGCCATATAGAAGTTCTTTACTGAAATGACACATTCTCTTTTATCATAAGATATTCTAAATCTGGAAATTGAGTGAGTTTATTGACTTTATTAAGATAATCTCAAATAAGAGGAACTGTATTGGAAGTAGGGCTGCGAACCGGTACACTGTACCGGTCCAATACCGTAAAAATCGTTTCGGTACAGGTCCAAAATACCGGATCATGAAGTAACGAGTATATACCGAAATAGCTAGTTTACACCATGTATATGACTAAAGATAGGTAAATCCTACCACAAAGACGAAAAATTAGCACTGGAAAAGACGTAAACACCGTCGATTGATTTGAGATCCTCAGTCTCAGGAGACATCGCGAGAGTGTGGCTGATCCATGGTTGTGATTGGTCAACAAACTCAAATCAGGTCAGAGGTCAGTCATTTTCCCTTCCCTCCATATTGGCGGCCTTTGTTGCTTTTGTGTTGTTTCTGTATTTTGCCGCGTCAAATTGTTCAGGTACAGGTACAGGTCCGGACCTGTACCTAAACCTCTGTACCGGTACCTGTACCTGTACCTGATGTTACGTTTAGGTACGCAGCCCTAATTGGAAGCATATTGTAAGTAAGAATCAACCCACCGTAAGTGCAGAAATTATTGAAGTGATTTTGATTTTGCCATTTTAACGGTTACTGTAATTCCTGATTTTTTCACAGTACTTTTATGTTGAGCGTCACTTCTGTACCGTGAACTTATCATTACAGGTAACAAATAATGCATGGACCTTCTTTTTCCTGCACCTGTCGCCAGACCCTGAAATTTTGATACTGTGAACATAAAGTGAATTACAGTATCTCTTACTGTGAAACCATAACACTGCAAACATGTGTAGTTCTACTGTAGTACAGAATTGTTTTAATTAAACCTTAGATTTCAAACACCACAAAAACCTCTTTTTCCCTCATACTGTAAAATAAAATCATTGCCATTACATTTACAGTTCTACATGTACATGTATATCATAGACAAAATCTTTGGCACTGAGCACGAAATATCATCCTGTTCCTAGAAAAAGGCCCAAGAGAAAAACCCAGGGTGCACTTCTATATACTGCTAATCAATATGTGTGTATATGGTATGACTAGGTGTCAGTGAGGGATGTGGTAATCCTGTCCAAGGGACAGCTACACAATTTGTCAACATCGCCCAAGGTCATATCAGATGTACCATTTCACTGGCACCAGGCCAGGTATATATTATTCATTAGTTTTCACACATACAAGGCTAGTGTATTGTATACTGTACATGACAATGCATTGCAACAATGCTTTAATGTTTTATTGCCACTTTAGGTTCTATCTGTGTGATAAAACATGGGCCATTTTTTAAGTAGTTTTTAAGTACGTACTTTTGTACACGAAGTGTAATTTAGTATTGGATAAGTCTGAAATGTAATATGCACACAGGGCTTGAAATACTGGGTGCATAGGCATTTATATGCACCCAAATTGGGGATGTTTGCCTGATTTTTGACTGTGATTTTTTTCGCCCTGTTGCTTCATATTTTGTCTACAAAAATAGGAGATCCAAGAAATGAAATTGGTGACACCGCGTCTGGCCTTTGTTTAAGATTTTAGTGTAAGACAAGGAGTATTGTATACTGTACATGACAATGCATTACAACAATGCTTTAATGTTTTATTGGCACTTGAGTGTGAACTTTCTGTCTATGTGATAAAATGTGGGTCTTTTTATATGCAATTCTTGCAATTGGGAATGTTCTTTTTGGTGAAGTGCAATCTACTACTAGATTACTCTCAAAAATGATACGCACACATAAAATACTGGCTTCATATGGATTTATGCACCCAAAATTGGAAATGTCACTTGATCTTTTGACTGTGACTTTTTTTTCACCATTGCTTCATATTTTTTCTAAAAAAATCCATGAACCAACAGTTTCCAATTCCATATAGTTGCAGAAATCATAGTCTTATCTTCAATTTTTGCATCAAGTCATATCCAAGTCTTGATAATAATATTGTACATGTACAAAGAGTAATTTTCCACAGAATGTACTGTACACATGGTTTTCTGAATCACAATCTAATTTTCTAACAGGTTTCCAAGGCATGTTTAACAGCTGCATTAAGTCACCAAAGTCCCCAGGGGCAGAACTAATTGAATCTTAGGCCACTTTTCAGCGATTATTTTCTGTCCCAGAGAAAACAAACATCATCAACTGGTGAATCACATCAGCAAATTGAATCTCTGTTCTGTGAAATGTTCTGCTAGTTTTCCTCTGGGACCGGCCATGTTGTCACTGATGACTAGTGTACAGCACGCTAATCTCTGTGTAATTCTGCTAATAGTCTCAGTTAATGGTGATTTCACACTTTACTCTGTTTGATGATAAGACCTAATTTACACCACCTCTGTACTTATTGCAATTCAAAGAAGAAGTCGAACCCCATAATAGCTAGTATAACTATAAGTTTTTCCAGACAGTTGTTGTCTGTCTACCGTATGTGGCTAGGTCTTGAAATATCAGAGAAATGATTTAATATTGGACCCCCTGGCGGCTTGCCTAGGTTCTGCAGCAGAAAGTTAATGTATCATTTAGCAAAGGTATGAAGTTGTGCTCTTGTTTACATGGTCCAAATCTATATTATCCACTGGCCTATGACCTATGAACATTTTCCTCAACAAGTTACTATGAGTGGTCACTATTTACACTATAACAGAGTTGACTGTTACTTTTCAAGAATTTTTGTACTTTAAACATCGTACACCAAAGTGAAATTAATGAGGCTGCCCATTTCAGTGACCTCTGCACCTGCTTTTAGCCCTCCGTCCAATCTCATCGACCCTCAGGCCTGCTACTGTTCATGCTGGATTAATTTACAGTTAGTAGAAATTCTTCAATCAGTGACTGTATTTAAAGGTAAAAACACGTACCTCCAAATTTTCGGTGTCGACTGTACACCTTTCTCAAGGAGTGACCTAGTCTCGCGAGAACACGAGACTAGGTCGAGACTTGTGTGGATCTTCTGACCTCCCCCGCCTCCTTGCGGAGTAGGGGTAGGTAGGACTTGGGCAGCTCCCAACCTTCGTTGCGATTCATCCCGGCACGTTCCAACTGGATATGGACCGCTTCCTTAATCTTTCTATGTGACTTCCGGGATTCCTGGTCTATAATCTTAACGATGTCCAAAATAGGGCCGTTTGTGACCCTATGTCCCGCTTTGAGTTCATGTTGGCTAAGTGCGGATTTACCGTCCTGACGGTCTACAGATTTCTGATGTTCGTCAGTTCGTTCACCTAGGGACCTTTCGGTTTCACCTACATACACCTCACCACACATCTCACACGATATTTTGTAAACAGTACCACACTTTTCACTGGGAAGTAGTGGGTCTTTTGGACTGACAAGGGCATTGCGCAGTGTATAGCCTGGTTTAGAGAACAGACTCACGTCTCGTCAAGTCTCGACCTAGTCTCGTGTTCTCGCGAGACTAGGTCACTCCTTGAGAAAGGTGTACAGTCGACACCGAAAATTTGGAGGTACGTGTTTTTACCTTTAAATACAGTCACTGATTGAAGAATTTCTACTAACTGTTAATTCTACGTGACTGATGAACCTCTTCAATGGATTAATTTAATTCTGGCTGTACTATTAGCAAATTGAAATCCTCCCAATGCTGGGTCCCTTCCTGTATGCACAGCTTGTACTTCTATACCAGACATGTTGTAATACAGTTAGGGGAGCCAGTACAATGTGTTCAAGGGAGGTACAGACAAATTTCTTATTCTAATATTGTCTACTATAAAAATGCCACCTTTTATACATGTATATGTCCAAATTTTTTTTTGTTTACCTGTTTTTGGATTGTTTAGGGGAGGGAGACTAGGAAGTGTATCTGTTTTGAGCTACATGTATTCAAACTTGTATTTTGAGCATTACGTAGCTACAAGGTCTAGCAGAGAAAACATGTACGAAGACTTGTAGAATATAAGTCTGTCTTTTCTAACTCGTATTAGGCTATGGCATTTTGCTGGTTGCTTACATGTACCTTGCATGTATTTCAAAGCATCTATTTCAGTTGATTGTGTAGCCTTTCTTTTTTTCATGTTGTAATGCAGTTAGAGGAGCCGGTAAGATGTGTTCAAGGGAGGTACAGACATATTTTGTTGTTCTAGGTCTACTATAACAGTATAAGAATTCTGCTTTTCTGATGTCTACAATGTATCTCATTTGCATGTTTTCTAGATTTTTGGGGGGGGAGAGGGACTAGAAAGTGTATCTGTTTTGAGCTATTCAAACTTGTATTTTGAACCTCAGTGTACAAGGTCTAGCAGAAAAAAACACAGACGAAAATATTAGAAGTCTGCCTCTTCTCAAACATGTACTTGGCTATGGCATTTTAATAAAATTTGTTGGTTGCACACATGTACTTTTACATGTGCTTAACTCCTTTCCAGTTGCTATATGTATTTTGGAGCATATTTTCATGAGTCAATTTGATCATAAAACTGTTCTTTCTTCCAGGTTTGTCCAAATGATACTTGAAACCAATGATTCAGCTTAGAGCTCAAGTATTTAAGAGAAGTTGTTGTTTTTTTGTTTTACAGCAAATAGCAGAACTGAAGAAAGAAAACTTCAGCCTGAAGCTGAGGATCTATTTCATGGAAGAGCGCATGCAACACGGAGAGGAGGAGGACATCGAAAAAACTGTGAGTCAAAACGCTTATCATAATTTGTGAGTAAATACTAGATATCAGTCATTTCACAAGCTTCAAAAACAGCACTTCCAGTGTTCATGTCTTTGGCTGCCTCTAGATACTGGTAATGGCCAGAGATAAAATGTACATGTATAAGCCTAATATTTTTTATGCATATTTCTGCAATCAACATTTGAGATCTATTGTTTTTAACCATTTTAAAAAGTGGATAATAGAAAATGTCAATGAATAGTCAAACTGGCCTTTGTTGTACATGTGTATTGAATTTTTCCTTCTATGCTGAACTTTTTTTCTTACAGAATATTGAGCTGAAGGTTGAAGTGGAAAGTTTGAAAAAAGAGCTACACGACAAACAAGAGCTTCTAGTTAAAGCATCGTAAGTATTCTGTAAATGCTTCAATATTGTCTTTGACAGCAAATTAGGGATATAATGTCCTTGGTTAGATGCACATTCCGTCCATGAGAATATTTCAGCTATATAGCATAGTTTTTTTTATTTTCAACTTTAAAACTGTACACGGCTATGCATGTTTCAATTTTGAAATCAACAATGTAGGGTATAGCTATCCAACTGTTGTCACTTTATACTATAGTTCTATCAATGTAAAGAATTGTTTTCCCTTGTATTTCTCCTTCTTTCCCTGCCATGTTGTAAAATGTGGTGAAGCCATTCGCTACATTTGCTCCCAAGCAAATGTCGGCCTTTGTAGTTTTCTAAATGTTTCTCCTTATTGCAGACAAGCAGTAGAAACCCTAGCAGCGCAGAACGATGCTGCGGTGCAGCAGGTTCGGCAGGACCATGGCAGGGAGCTGCAGCAGCTGCGCGACCAGTATGAGTCCAGACTCACCTCTGCTCAGGAGGTGGGCACAGCCTTTCTCACTTAGCCTGCAGTTTGTTAATAAATTGCTAGGTGGGGCTGCTGACAGGTGAACATTGGACAATCAAGTGATAGACGTGAAACTTTGCACAGTATTCTGTCAGTTACAGTATTTTGGGAAAATATGAATACTAGACATCCAAAATGTATATACAAGACAGTAGGAAAAGTTTCAGAGTAAGAAGTTGCAGAGTTGAAGGAATCTTTTGCAACTTTGTAAGGTCAGATAGTACAAACATACATGTACTGTGTTTCTTGTAACCTTTGCTCTGCTGTGGGCCCAAGTTTTTAGAAAAAGGCTTAATGATGGTTAGACCTTTGATTGCCAAGACATCATTTTTAGTTATGTCAACGACAAATTGGAGATTTCAGACTTCGAGGAAGGGTTTTGGATTCTTGTAAATATATTGAAACTGTGTTGTCTGATCATTACATCGTAGAATGGGTTATTCCACTATTGTTTATGTACATAGTACACATTGCTAGCAATGTCATACCACATCTTAACTCCCAGGCATGCTGGGTCACAACCCTGTCAATCAATTGAAATCCAATCGTCACCCACTCATTTCCAATCCTTACTGCTGAGGAAACAATACATACAAACTCTCCCTGAACCACCCAAAAACTATACTTCCACCCCCGAACTAACATGTGTTCTATTTTCCTTTCAGGAGAACACTCTTCAGAAAAGAGTTGATGAGGAGACGGAAGGGAAGATCCGTGACCTTGAGGCAGCCAACCAGGAACTCCAGAACAAGCTGCGCGACCTTGAGAAGGTCAAACAGGACAAGAAGAACCTCCAGGACTCGTCTAAGGAAGCTCTACAAGACAAGAACAGGTGAGAAGAAGTAGCACAAAGCCTAGAAGATGCTCAAAGGACTCAGTGTTGATGAAACACGTTTGAAAGGAAACATTAAAATTACATCAACTTTGTTTGATGCTGTCACCATTAACCAATGTTTTAAAGATTTTGAATCCTAGAATAAAGTTTCTTATTACTAATATCAGTAAGAAAAATTTGATAAAATCTCACTAGAATCCCAAAGTTATGTCACATTTATATTATAAAGTCGTGTAAGTGAGAAAAGTTGAAAAACAAGTATTAGTTTATTGTACATAGGAATCATGTAGGTATATGGGTAGGTATACTTTTTTCAAATACTAAAATCCCAAAGTTATGTCACATATCACTTAGCATTTATCAAGTGAGAAAAGTTGAAAAATAAGTATTACTTTATTCTAGGAATCATGTAGGTATACGGGTAGGTATGCGGGTAGAGCTCAGCATGTCTAGGTACTAAGACTGTTGTGTTTTCAGTGAACCCCATGCTCAGTCAGACACAGGAGACTGTTGTTCATGTACCCAGCATAACAGCAGGGAGTAAGTTGTGCTCTGTTGTCAATGCATGATTATACTGTCTGCAAGAACTGATCCTCAGAGCTTAAGGCATTTACCTTGCATGCATCTTAAGGAGATGTTGGAACGGAGGTAAATTAAGGTTTCAAAGAGGTGTCATCTGCATATGGTCATGTTGGTAAAATTTTCCTGGAGTTGGTGATTTTTTATATTTCTTGCACCAGTGCAAGTGTGCAGAACAATACATTTCATCCTTGAAAAAAAATATCAGGCCAACTTGATTTATTTTTACAGGAACATAAGGCCACACCAATTTAATTTGTTGGTTCATGGATTCGCGTCTTCATTTTTTCTGATTTGCAAAAAAAAAAAAAGAATTTTGAATCAACTCAAAAGTACTCATATTTTGCCCCCAACAGTTGAGGAAAGTCATTTTCTTCCTAGTTGTTACTGTACACAACAGTTTTTCTATCTATCAATGCATTGGTTTGATTAAAAGTCCAAAATTCATTGTTTAAATATTAACCCAGCCTTTTGTGTTGACTTCATGGCTCCTATCGTTGCATTTGGTGCTATAATAGGATGCCTTACCCTGTTTTTATTTTTTCGCCCTGTCACTCCATATTTTTTCTGGAAAAATCTGAGAACCAACAAATCAAATTGTTGTGGCCTAAGATTGTAATAAAAAGGATGTTTTCTTGGTGTTTTTAAGTTCACAGTTCAAACAATGCAAAAAACTGAAGTAGAAAACCCATGTTAGCAGGATCACAAATATTTGGGAAACATTATGAAGAGCATTACAAGACCTACAGTACACCAACATGACCAGATGCAAAGCATGTTATACTCTTTCGGTGTCCATATATAGGTGAAGGTGATACAAGGTCATATCTCTCTGCATTCTGCACTGTATTTTACTATCTGCTATCTTTTCTCTCCCTCTCTTCTTTTTTTTCGTTTGTTTGTTTATTTGTTTGTTGCCATGGCAGCTCTTGCAACTGTGTAGACAGAAGCTTTTCCCCGAAAAATGCGGACACCAGTCCCAGAACATTGTTATGGTGAGCGAATCGCGCTGGCGAGTAGTGTTTTAGTCACTGGTGTTTGGATGCGGGCACTCTCACACGTGTACATGTACTTTTTTAAGTCAGTTGAAATGGTAGGGTAGCTAAAGGTTGCTGAAGGAAAATAGAACAAGAAAGGTAACATTTGCTAAGCAAATGCAAAATGTTAACCTTCGCATATGGTCTGCTCTGTTAATTCTTACTCAAAAACACATTCATACATATATGGTCAGACAGGAGTCTAAATCCCTCCTGCTATAAAATTGCAACATGTAACCCAATTCTAGTTACCATGGTAACAGACAGTCTGGTTCAGGTCATTGACCTTTTTGGTTTGTAGAAGAAGAGGAAACAGAGCAAAAATAATGTGTTTTCCTTCAGTAAACATAAAAAAGAATGCAGTGAATATGAAGGAAATGGCGTTTTTTGTTGTTATATCATGTAAATAACAGGAGAATTGACTTGAATTTGGAAGGAGGTGGCGTGTCCTTAGTCACTAACTCCCAGATTAACAGGGATTAAAAGGTTTACCTTTCTTAGGGATTAGTCATACAACACAGCCATGGTTTTTAAGTTCCTGGGTCTCCCCAGAAATTCTTAGGGGAGAGGTGCTCCCTAATCACTTGATGAAAAAATCAGCGAATTTTCCTGCAAATACTAAGAGAAAACCCTAAATTTTGACATTTTGGAAGAGGTGCCAGGATTTTTGGGGGAGGGGGAGCACCCTTGTTTCACACCCTTGTTTTGAAACCGTAAATTTTCGGTCAAGCTTGTCAACATTCGTCTTACATTATGAGAGCAAGTTGTGAACAGTGTTGTGTTGTTGCCCCCCTCCCACCCCAGGGTGATAGACCAGTTGAACCACGCCCTGCGCACCAAGGACCAACTCATCCAGCAGCTCAACCAGGACAAGTCTGACCTTGTGGCAGACAAGGTCAAACCTCTGGAGGCTCAGGTCCAGAGTCTGACACAGGAGCTCAAGGACAAGGAGGGCAACATGCAGGTGGGTCAAGTCATTATCTAAGGAAGATGGAAAGGTTGGGGGAAAAAACTAGAAGTAACCTTTGCAAAGCAAATACATAATGTTTACCTTCGGACATGGTCTTCTCTGTTAATTCTTACTCAAACACATTCACATACATGTACTACTTGTATATAGTGACAGCAGACCATGAAATTGCAACATTATGTAACTGCAACCCTATCTCTTGAGAACCCAAACTTACAAACCTAGCATATAGTAGTGTCACACAAAACAATACTTTCATCCCAGGAGTGATAAACCTAGGATTGTACTTGTGTAACCCTATTAATGTCTTTTTCCTCCAATCTGAAGGACGACATCAACAGATACCAGCAACAAGTGGAGGTCAGCAAAAAGAACAATCAGGAAATCCAGGTAACCATGCTTTCACAATTCAGACATTGCTAACAAATTTCTCATTCCTTGGTTGTATTATATCTTCAGTAGTGCTCTCCTCTGATTGGTTAAAAGCTAATCTGTTTAATTAGACATCTCCAGTGCTCTCCTCCGATTGGTTAAAAGTTAATCTGTTTAATGATACATCTCTAGTGCTCTCCTCTGACTGGTCAAGAGTTAATCTTTTTAATTATACATCTCCAGTGCTCTCTTCTGATTGGTTAAAGGTTAACTTGTTTAATTTGTTTCTCAGGCCCTTCTTGAGGACCAGCAGAGGAAGCTGGATGAGTATGAGATCGCTGCCGGCCAGATGACCCGCGACCACGACAAGAAAGAGAAGGAAATCAAGGTGACCAAAACATGCTCAAATGTAGATACAGTAAATGGTTTGTATGGAAAATGAAAAGGTTTCAAAGTGATGTAAACCCAGAGAAATCTATCATAATGTTTCATGAAAAACCTTGAATAGCAAAAGATAGTGACAAACGGATGGATGCCCTGGGTAGGTAGATAATTATCTTGTACATGTACACAATGTGTCAAACAAAAATGTATCAGTTGTATTCTACTTGCCACTCTGTTCTATTGTCTTACATGTATGTCTTCATCATATACATTCAATGTGGTTTGCAGTACTAAAAACTTGAATCATTGCAGTGCATTTTGCATTGTTCACCACACTTTTTTAACATCTAGCAACAAACTCCTACAACAGTTTTGTTGATCTCAGTCAGCATTTTTTTGCTTGAAGTATGACAACATTTAACCTAATTTGACACGCATCATATGTCTTTGTTTTAATCAGAGTGAATTTCATTGTAAATATCATAATAACATCATTGCTCATGACTTATTTAAAAGTTCACTTTTGGTTGCTTAGTACCAACCTATGGAGATGTATTCCATGGGGAATTCGATAACTTGATTGCAGTTGCCTAGCCTTTTCCAAAGGCAGATTTCTTTTCCAAAGTTTCAATCAACAATTATATTTAAGAAAAAAATTATTTTTAATGAAATTTCATTACTGGAGATCGTGAAATGTTTATGCTGGTTTTACTTCGCCAGTTTTCAAAGTGGTCGCTTACTGCAAAATCACAACACTAGTACTGTGATGTATTTTGTAATTCTACTATACTACAGAATTGTTTCAACCGTACTACATAATTGTTTCAACTTCAAACTCTGCAAAAACCTACCATGAAATAAAACAACCACAAAAGTAGATGCATTTTCAGTATTCAATGATTCTAAAAAAAAGTTTATCAAGAACTGGTAAGCAAAATTCCCCATGGAATGCTTCTTTTATAGAAGGTACCTGTGTGCTGTGCTTGCCACCCACTAACACACCCTCCCCATCCCGTACCCCCCTCCCCCCTACCTTACCCCCTCCCCCCTACTTACCCCCCTCCCTCCCTACCTTACCCCCCTCCCACAGGAGTTAGAGAGGCTTGTTTTGGAGGCTGAGGATGAGAATGAGGTAAATTAGAACCATTCCCAGTCTAACAGTCATGTACTAACACTTACCCACATACATATACAATGTACAGTACATCCTCCATCAACCAAAAGGATTAGGACTGTGACATTCATTAATTTGTATGAACAGATCTTACTGTTCATACAAAAAAAATTTACGTGTGGCGTGGAATTGCTGTGTGGCTATGCTAGGACACTCAAAACCAAAAGGTCACGAGTTTGATTCCTTGCATTCCTGGCTAGACGTTGTGTCCTTGGGAAAGGCACTAAACAAAACTTTCTTCACTCCATCCAGGACCTGGTGTAAAATGGGTACCTAACTTTGGTTGGGAGGTAAAAGGAGAGGCAAGCCCTTCCAATACCGTATCGTAGACACAGTAGACTCACAACCCACTGCCCCTGTCACCTTAAAAAGGCCATGGGATTACATTTACTTTTTCTTTTAGAATCTACTGTATCAAAACATACATCAATCTATTCATAAAGAGTTTGGCTAATAGAGGATGTACTGTGTGTCCATTGAGCACTACCTTGTCCTGCACCATTTTCTGTGGCTATTCTGCAAATGCACACATCACACATCAGTTGTATATTGTGCTTAAGACATTCAGAAAGGTTTAATCTGTAATATCACATTAGCATTGAATACTTAGATATCTATGTTTGGCTCAGTGTGTGTCATTGTCAGACTACCTCTCTCTGTTTAATTAGACATCTCCAGTGCTCTCCTCTGATTGGTCAAAAGTTAATCTTGTTATGATACATCTCCAATGCTCTCTTCTGATTGGTTAAAAGTTAATCTTTTTAATTATACATATCCTGCAACTCTCTTTTGCTTTTATTGAATGTACATGTAGCTCATTTCTGTTTGAAAAGAGGTTTGCAACTGAACAAGTTTTTGACTCAACGAATGAACACTTTCTTTCCAGAAGCATGTCAATTAGTCTTATCCGGTAATTTGAAAGAAAGAACTGGAGAGAAACTTAACTTAATTTTTTTGTGTTTCTAGGAGCTAAAAAGGAAGCTACAAGACAAGGAATCTGACGTGAAACTCCAGGAGCAAAATGCACTCAAAAGGGACAAAGCCATCCAGGGTCTGTCAGAGGCCATTCACAACAAGAGCAAAGAGGTGAGAGTTAGAACTGGAATACCCTAAATCTTTCAACTTTTGAGGTGCCCTTTTTTTGGAGTGATCTTTTCACCACGAATCTATGAAACTGCAAATATGCCCTGAATTACTGTAAATCAGGAAATGTTTGCGATGGTTTTATTAATATGTAAATACTGTATGTGGTTTTTATAACTCTAATACAGAATTGTTTCAACTGCAAACCGCAAGCAACATGGAAAACTTCTTTTACCCTCCCACCGCGAAATAGAACCAAGTTAATTTTTTCAATGCAGTCATGTGTACAAACTCACAGTTGTATGTACCAACCACTAAGTATCTAATTCCAGCCCAGGAAAGAACAAGAAACAGTCATGCTTTCAAATATTAGAGTTATCAACCAAGAATTGCGGTTTTCAAAAAATTGTATTTTCCAAGAACTATCATACAGTTAAACTCGTTGCCACCAAGCACAGTTGGGGCATTATCACTAGAGTAGAAAGCTTTAAACAACTCCTGCAACTAAATATGCAAAGATTGAGTGTAACAAGTCGTTTGGTGTGATATAGCTAATACATGTAGCTGCCGCCGTGCCTCGTCCCTGGTTGGTTAAAGTTGGATCTGTTTAATTATACATTTCCA